GGCACCTCCCCTAATGAATCATTCATCAGTCGTCCCTCCGACCCCGCCCCTGCGGGTGATGTAACACCAACCACACCCCCTAGCCCTGGTCCAGCCTCCGCCCTCCGTTCCCGCGACCCGCCCTCTGGTTCCCACGCCTCGGTTCCCGGGGGAGGGGGGGGGGCGGAGGAGGAGGAGGGGGGGGAGGGGGGAAGCCGCGACCTGCCGCAACCCCTGCTTGCCTTTTCTGCCGCACCAGTCACCTACACCCCGCGGCAGAGGGGCAGACCCTTAGCACAGTGGGCCCCCATCCCACAGGCTGTAATTAGAGATGTTTGCAAAGCTCAAAAAGACTTTGGTTGGGAAAGTGAATACTTTCGGGGACTTTTAAAAGTCACACTTTCCTCCAACGAGTACGTCCCTGCTGACATTCGCGCTCTGTTTTTGTGCTTGCTTACTCAAGCTGAGTTTTTGGTATGGGAATCCGCATGGAGGCGGGAGGTATGGGATACATTACCCCAACTTTGGGCAAAAGCCGAGACCTCCTCTGACACCGATGGAGGCATGCTAACCATTGATCACCTGTGCGGGATGGGGGATTGGGACGTGGCAACAACACAGGCTGAAAAGATTCCAAGGGGGGCATTGGCAGCAACTGCCAATGCAGCAGAAAAAGCATTTTTTAAGTTAAAACCCTGTGGTCCTGTTGTTAACTGTTTTTCTATTAAGCAGGAGACACAGGAGTCTTTCGTTAGTTTAATAGACAGGTTGTAAAGGGCAGCTGAATCGCAGGTGCCAGAGGACGGATTGAGGCAGGGCATGGTGAAGCAAATCGCCCTGCAGAATGCCAACGAGGCCTGCTGACAGGCGATGCTGAGCCTGCCCCTCGACCCAGAGCCAACGCTCCAGGACATGCTGGACGTGTGCGCTCGAAGGGTCACCCTGCCTTCAAAGGACCCTCAGGGGACACCCCAAACGCCATCACGGAGGGTCTCCTTTGCCGAAGCCCACACGCCATCCACAGCTCCAGCTCCTGCATGCCACTTCACTGGGCCACCGCCCAAAGGTTACCATCCAGGAAAACCCTGCAACCTGTGAAATAAGAAAGGACACTGGGCATCTCACTGCCCCCTCAAAGAAGACTTCTTGCGTTTTAAAAATCAGCAGCAAGGGCAAGGTGCCTCCAACTCAGGGGTACATTCAAAAAATTGATTTCCCAGCGCAGTCCCTTCCTGCGTGAGGACACAAATTTGGTGGGAAACATAACATCAGGGGGCAGGAGGGACAACACATTAGCATACCCACCTGAGGACAATAACTCTAATACCAAACATGACATTTCTGGAGTGCACAATAGGGGCACAAGAGCTGGTGAACCAGCCTGCGTGGGAGGAGTTGGGAATTTCATCTCACAGGCATGGCTTGGTCGGCACCCCGACCATCCCAGGCCCATCCTTAACACCCAGTCCAACTTCTCTCCATACAGGTTGGCCCTAACCGAACCCCTACTGCTCAGGGTCAGCAATTGGCACTTTGTCACAGTGGACACACAAGACCCAGGGACCTGGAGAAAACTCCACAGTAAGTACATCGTCCTTGGGGACACAAAATACACGCCACTCGACATCACTATCGCACCCAATTTGACACCTGCAAACCCTAAACATCTGGTGCTGTGGCTGCATTGTGCTCACCCGCCAGTCTACCTTCCCAAAGGGCAAATCATCGCCCAGGCCATACCTGTATCTGGGGCCCCCGTCTACCCAGAAGATCTATGGATGAAAACCCCAAAGGAGATCTACGAGGTGTGTCAGGCCCAGGTAATTGGGAAGGATAGACCCAAAATTGCGTGTTACATATGGAATGGCGGTGAGCACAAGTGGCTTAACGGCCTCTTGGACACAGGGGCAGACGTCACAGTCATTCCCTCACGGGATTGGCCGTCGCGTTGGGAGTTGCAGGACGTGGCTGGACACATTCAAGGTGTCGGAGGGGCACAATTGGCAAAACAGTCAAAAAACATCATCAAATTTGAGGGGCCAAACAGACAGACAGCTTACCTGCGTCCGTTTGTTCTGGATTACACGGAGCCCCTGTGGGGAAGGGACCTGATGGCCCAGTGGGGGGTCTCATTGACCATTCCTACCCCCCAGGTTTTTTGGGCAGCAGGAGCATCCTACCCAAAAGTTAAATTGGCTCTCTGATGTTCCAATCTGGGTAGAGCAGTGGCCGCTCAATAAACAAAAATTAAAAGCGCTCCAAAAGCTCGTGGCAGAACAACTTGCCAAGGGACATATCCAAGAAACAACATCTCCTTGGAATTCCCCCGTCTTTGTCCTGAAAAAACCAGGCAAAGACGAATGGCGGTTGCTCCACGACCTCCGTGCCATCAACAATGTGATCGAAAATATGGGTCCACTCCAACCAGGGATGCCGTCCCCCACAATGTTACCCAAAGATTGGGAATTGGCTGTGATTGACATCAAAAATTGCTTCTTTCATATCCCCCTCCACCCAGACGATGCACCACGTTTTGCCTTCTCGGTTCCGTCCCTTAACCGAGAAGCCCCAATGGAGCGGTACCATTGGCGAGTATTGCCACAGGGCCTCAAATGCTCGCCCACCATCTGCCAGCGGTACGTAGCTTCATTGCTGACCCCAGTCCGTACAGCCACCGAGGGCGTGATCATCCAACATTATATGGATGACATCTTGATTTGTGCTCCCAATGACGATCTCCTTACACACGCGCTTAACCTGACAACCGATGCGTTGGTTGCTGCAGGGTTTGAGCTGCGAGAAGATAAGATTCAAAAGATGCCACCCTGGAAGTACCTGGGCTTGGAAATTACCAAGCGGACTATTACTCCGCAAAAATTGGCCATCAGAAACAAAATTCGGACCCTAGCAGACGTCCAGTAGCTGTGCGGTTCTTTAAACTGGGTGAGGCCATGGCTAGGCATTACAAACAGAGACCTAGCCCCTCTTTTCGATTTATTGAAAGGGGGGGAAGAGCCGAGTTCTCCCAGGGAACTCACCCCAGAGGCCCAAGCAGCTTTGATTAGGGTCCAGGAGACAATGTCTGCCAGACAGGCCCACCGGTACGATCCGGACCTGCCTTTTAAATTCATCATATTGGGCAGACTGCCACACCTCCATGGTGCGATATTTCAATGGACAGACACCCCAAGGAAGGGCAAGGGCCAGGACCAAAGGGACCCACTCTCCATCATAGAATGGGTCTTCCTAAGTCACCATAGGTCCAAGAGAATGACAAGGCCACAAGAGTTAGTAGCGGAACTGATCCGCAAAGAAAGAGGTCGGATCAGAGAGTTAGCTGGATGTGACTTTGAATGCATTCACATTCCCACCAAATTGGAATCAGGCCAATTCACCAAAGCCATGCTAGAACATCTGTTACAGGAAAATCAATCCCTGCAGTTCTCTCTAGACAGCTACACAGGCAAAATTTCAGTTTTGAGACCAGCCCACAAAATTTTTGAATCAGAAATTCAATTCGCATTGTCCATCAAACAAATTCAGAGCAAAAAGCCACTCAAAGCCTTGACAGTTTTTACAGACGCGTCCGGGAGTTCTCACAAGTCTGTGATAACTTGGAAAGACCCCCAGACGCAGCAGTGGGAGACAGACATTGTGGAGGTGGAAGGCTCCCCTCAAATAGCTGAGTTGGCTGCTGTCGTCAGGGCCTTTGAGTGATTCTCTGAACCTTTTAATTTGGTAACTGATTCGGCATATGTAGCTGGTGTAGTGTCTAGAGTGCAGGATGCTGTCCTGCAGGGTGTGTCCAACGAAGCCCTACACAAGTTGCTCTCGAAACTGATTAAGCTAGTCTCCCACCGAGAGCAACCCTTTTACGTGATGCATATCAGGTCATATACCAACTTGCCAGGGTTTTTGGCAGAGGGCAATTGGCGTGCCGATTCTCTCTCTGCCGCCCCGGCTCAGGTAGCTCCGCTCCCAGATAAGTTCCAACAGGCTAAGATCAGCCACCAATTTTACCACCAGAATGCGCCCGGGCTGGTCCGGCAATTCCACCTCACTCGTGACCAAGCCAGAGCCATTGTGGCCACCTGCCCGTCCTGTAAGTCCCTCCCCCTACCATCGGTGAGCTCAGGGGCAAACCCTAGGGGTCTGAAGTCCTGCGAGGTATGGCAGATGGACGTTACTCACATCCATTCCTTTGGGAGGATGAAGTACGTCCATGTCTCCGTGGACACTTTCTCTGGAGCAGTCTTTGCTTCTGCCCACGCAGGGGAGAAGGCCAAAGACATTGAAAAGCATCTGATACAGGCCTTCGCTATGCTGGGCGTCCCTAAATTGATAAAAACAGATAATGCCCCCGGGTACACATCCAAGGGATTTGTCAGCTTTCTTGCAGCAATGGGGAATAGAGCACAAAACTGGCATCGCATATTCCCCGACAGGTCAAGCCGTGGTGGAACGGACTCATCAGAGTCTCAAACGCATGCTGAAACAGCAAACACCAACTATGAATGTGGAGTCCCCCCAAGTTCGGCTCGCGCGTGCCCTCTTTACACTGAATTTCCTAAATTGTTCTTTTGAAAACCACAACCCACCAGTCACCAGGCACTTTAGCAACCACGAGCTGAGCAAGGTTAGGGAAAAACCACCAGTGATCATCAAAAATCCAGAGACTTGGCAGCTGGAAGGGCCCCATGAGTTAGTTACCTGGGGACGGGGATACGCTTGCGTGTCCACGCCTTTAGGCCTGAGATGGGTCCCGTCCAAATTTGTCCGGCCATATGTCCCCAAACACCAGACTGATAAGAAAAAAGATCCTCAGGTGAAGCATGCAGCCCTCCACAGACGGAGAAAGTCTCCTGCCTTCCTTTTTGATTCAGTACCTTCTCTTTCAGAGCCTTCCCTTTCACCATCCAGTTCCCTAGACTCACCTTTCCCTTTTGATTTAAACCTCCCCTCCCCAGAATGATGACTTATGTTGCTGTTGACATTCACTGTTCTTATTATAAGTTTTAGCAATGTTAAAAGGTTTAAAGATCATCAATTCCACCGTGCACATCGACCACGGAGTCTTCACTGCCCCATCAGAGCTGACATCCGCTCAACGCAGACAGCCAGAGAAGAACCGAGCAGACATTGGGTTCAACGATGGGGAAAAGGACTGTAAAACCTCCCATTTAAGTTATTTTCCATTCTTTTCTTTTGAAAAACAGAAGAAGGAGTTGTGGAATTGTGTTATTATATGTTCTATTATGTATAAGGTCATTCCATGTATCCCCTCGCGATCTATAGCGACCCCCCGGGTTCTCCCATCTCCCCCCCGCGGTTTGCCTTCCCGAGAAAGTGCCAAGTCACTCTGTTTACATCTCTCAGACCATCTGTCAGCCATGCGGCGGGGTCGGGAGACGACCTGGCACCCTTCCATCTGTCCATCTCCCATTGGACCCCTGCACCCCACTGTCCCCAGTCCCCCTGTGGCGTTATCTCATTGGCCGCCCCGGGTTTCCCCTATTCAGTACTTATAGCGCGGGTTGGGGATGCCCGGTGCTTTTTCTCCCGCTCGGCTCCTGACCGTGCTGCCGCGGCTCTCTCTCTCGCCTGGCCCCTGACTGCCGCGGCCGCTGCCGCTTGCACCTGCTCCGCAACTACCACCGCTGCCCCAGGCAATCGCGGCCGCCCCGGACTGCCCTGCGATTGCTGCCGCAGCCTCACCGCCGCCGCCGCCGCTGCTGCTGTCGCTGCGGCTCCCGCGCGTGCCGGCCGCAGCACCGCGGCTCCGCACGCAGCTTCTCTTGGCTCGCGGCCAGCTTCGAAGCGCGCCGCCCCGCCCCCGAACCAGCAAGGCGGCACGGACAAACTCTAACTTAGCACGCAGCAGCCTATTTGGTTTTTGCCTTCCCAACCAAGCCGCAATAAACCGGGATTTCGCCCGCGGGGGCAAAAGTCTCTCCTCTTTTATTCGCCTCGGGACTCGCCTCGCTCCCAAACCCACGCAGCACCGGCCGACACCCGCGAGGGTTCACCGGAAAACACGGAAGTTGCCAGCGTTCTCCCCCCCCCCCCACGGAGCTAGCTGGGACAAAAGGGGGGACAAGAGAGCGCTAAGGCACCCTGCTGTGCCAGCACCTCTGTGTGAGCACGTTAGGTTTTAGCTTATGGTGCTCCCAGAGGAAGAAGAAATAACGTTCCTTTTGGTGCCCAGGAAGCCTTCTTTGGAACCGAGGACCCCTTCTGCAATTTTTTTTCCCAGGAGCCACCAGTGTGGTGAGTGCCCTTTGTGGCTGGCACGGACCCAGGCCAGGGACACAAGTAGATGGTAGCTGCTTCCCGAGGGAGGGGACACGCTGTGCGTGGCATGTGCAGTCTACCCCTGTGGGCTTCCTGGGCCCTTTTACTTTTATTTTCCCCATTTTCACTGCAGAAGGAGTGTGGAAGAAATGCTGAGTGGGCAGGATGGGTGCTAAGCTGTCCACTCAGCAATGGAGCAACAGGAGGTGTATGTCCAAGTTGTGGTTACCCTGGGGCAGGGGGGTGAAAAATTTTCAAAGGACTTGTGAAAAGGTTTGTGGGGTGGTTGTTTTTTAACTTTCCTAATATTACCCTGCAAGATGTGCAAATTATTGTATTTTGGAAGCAAGTAGTTGCTAAATTGACTGATTTAACAAAGAGGGGTGACTCCTTCATTAAAGAGGGATTTTTGCAATTATTTTTATTGTTTTGGGATTTGTTAAAAGTGAAAGAAAAAGGAGTTTAAAAACAACTTGCGAGTTTATCCCCCGTTATCTCCAGAAACCCTTCTTCCCCACCTTCTTTTCCCATTCCCTCTTCCCTTTTGCTGGTTGGGCATGGGGGAGCAGCCCGTCAGAAGATGCAGGGTTGCCACAGTCTCCGTGGATCCCCAATGCCCCCTCGGCACCCTAGCCCTGACAGTGCTGGCCACACTCTCAGGGACCTCACCCCGATCCCTCAATCCAATCCCTTTGTCCTTGTTAAGAGCCCTAGTTCTGAGTTCCAAGATGGTTCCTTTCCTCATCCCTCAGAGGCACCACAGAATGGCTACTGCCTCGCGGCAGATGCTTCTTTTCCCCAGAATCCCTTTCTCCCTCTTCCCGCCCAAACCCTTGATCCTTCTCTTGCCCTGGGTCCCTCATCTTCCTTTGCGGTTGGCAGTTTTACCCCCCCCAGAAGCAAGGGACTTCTTATAAAATAGAGAATGCTGGACAGGACAAGCACAGATCAAGCCAATATGGTTAATACTACAATCTCCCTTTATTATTTATAAGATGGCAGTTTAGATACACTTCAATATAGTTTACAAATTGTGAGCACACTCTCATTGGCAAGCAAACATTGTTTGTCTTTGTCTTAAGGTGGTTAAAGTTTCACACTGCAGACCTATACTAATTCACACCCAGAAAGCTCATTACACTGTGTTCACCTTAACATAATTTCTAACTGCGCCACAAACTAATTTCTTACTGCATCAGAAGCTTCAAAGGCCTCGCCGGAGCCTATATCTGAGGCCTAGACTGGGGGTAGCTCAACCTTCACTCTAAATATAAATCATGTCCTCTCTCTCTCAGAAATCCTGCAACACCCCCCCATTGTTCTACCCACTGCTTCCCCCCCGTCACACCATCGGCAATCCCTGAGTCCTCAGCTGACTCCGCCCAGATTCCCACCCTGCAGCCCTTGGTTTCTGCACGCCAGCTTCCTGTTTCCCATGCTTCGGCTTCTGGTTCCCATGGTGACATGGGGACCGGGAGTGCAGTGCCAGGGGGACCGGAGGTGGTGTAAGATAACAGTTCACCTTTCCTAGCCCTGGTCATCTATTGTTATAAATGAAAATTTGTCCAGCCAAATTAATATGAAAAATAAATTATTTATTTTGCAATCAAATTTTATCTAGCCAGCCACAAGGAAAGAACAGAGCCGAGCCCAGAGTCGGCCCTGGGTGTGCAACAAGGAGTCAGCCTCAGCAGAGGTTTTCCTCCATGCCCACACACCTCCATCCTGGCACAAGCAGTTTTTATAGGGAAAATTCAGCCTGAGGCCAAGATTTCAGCAATCAGTCTTTTCTTCTATTCAGAGTCCATATGTTAATAAGATTTTCTTTTTTGGTGATGAGGGAGAACAAATCAGTGTCTGGAGTTTGTTGAATCCAGTGATGAAATTTACGGGAATTCGGGAACGCTGTATTCACATGTATCTGCCTGGGGATTTCCAAGATAGCCATCTCGGGTTGTTCACGCGATGATCAGCGCCTGGGGTCTCCCGCAGCTTCCCAGATATGGCCCATCTCCTGGCGAGCCATATCTTCCTGTAAATTAGTTTCCAACATACACCCGGTCTCGGAGGGGAGAAGGGGGGGAGGCTAGTACAAACGAGGTATAATCTAACAAGTATTTAACATTATATATTCCATACAAGGAATGGCGCAAATTATGTTTATTACCCATAACAATCCCCCACCTTCTATATTAACCCATTAATTTGCGCACTAATTTTTACCTCTACTGAATCCCAAGATTTCTTTATTTTTATTCCCTTTCATTTATTACATCTAGAATTTCCTAGTAAATTTTATAGCTTTGTTCTTTACTCTTTATTCGTCTTTCAAATTTTGCTAGGGCCTCAGCCGCCCTGCTATGAGGAATTTCTTCTCCTAGTGTCATTATTTTTGGTACCTGATTTGTTTTTCCTAGGGCAGCTTCTGTCTTTTTATCTCTTGCATTACCTGTTTCATCTTACTTTCTGGATCCATCCCTTCTGTCCTTGGTAAAACAGAACATCTTATCATACTGTAGACAAACCCTGTTGTCCTGGTCCCCTAAGAGGTCCAGGATGACTGGCTCAGTTTCTAGAGGTACCCTGTTTTCATACTTTAGGTTATTTCCCACCCAGTAGGTTTTTCCCCCCATTACACATATACTAATTTTATTCGGATCATAACATACTGGTTTTGCTTGGAAATAAGCAACAAAGAATGGTTCCTGCTTTCCCCCAACCCATACAGTACGATTACATTTGTTACAAACTGGAATTGAAACTTCCCTTGTGCTCCTTCGATGTAGTTTATGAGCTGACTGTCCGATTTCAAGGTATGTTTTCTATTTCTCTTTGAATTTGTACACCCCCTGTTGAGTGTTAGTGTCAAGACAACGTTTATTAGGCTTACCCCTGCTGCAGTTCCATGAGGTAGGAGGTGATTCCTCTGGGTATCTGCCACCAGGTTCCCCCTTCCCAGGATTGGGGAAGTTACTGAGGCATGAGGCTAGGCTCAGGCTCGCCCAGACTAATCCCACTGCTAGGATCCCTCTGCCGTTCCCAGCGCCCACTGGGGTGCGTCCAGCGGCGGGGTGAGCCACCTTCTTGGCAGCAGGAATCTTTGTCTGTGGTTTCATACTCAGGCCGAGCCGCATACCTTTGTTTAAAATGCCTCACTGGTGTAGTCTGGACTGCAAGGTACGTTGTTCAACCTATGACACTCAACAATAACAATTTTAGCTTTTGTTTGTAATTTCCCCCTTAATTCCTTCTGATATGAGAGGAAAAGAAGAAAAAAACTAAAACCTAGATTATTGAATCTAATTAGAACAATCTTAGCCTTGTGGCTATTTACCAGAAAACGGCCAGTCAGGTCTTCCTCCTGCTCAAAACACTTCCCAAACAACCCACTTTGTTTAATTCAATAATGAACAGTTCAAACTTTATGACAGTATCTCCAAGGGAAATGTAGGAGAGGATAATAGTTACACTCTGGCATAGAACGCTTGATAGATGTGCTCAGTTATTTACTTGTCCGCTTTAGGGTTATCTTCAAATCTCCGAGGGGGAGGTGATTTTCCACTCTGGTGCCTGGTCCTGGAGATCGACTTTTTTTTTTTTTTTACCCTTGATGCGTGTGTCCACCCCTTTTCTGCAGTTCGTATAGCAGTATCTGTAGTTAAAGGAACAAGAAAAGGTCCCTCCCATTGAGGCGTTAATGGGGCTTCCCGCCAGGTTTTCACAAGCACCCTGTCTCCAGGTTGTATTTTATGTATTGAGAAGCTAAGAGGGCTGTTTTGGATAATTACCCCCTGCTTTCGCAATTCTTTGAGATTCTTATTTAATTCTACTAGACATGGTTGTATTTGTTCATCCTCTAATTTCGGATGCCCTAC